TAATTAGTACATTCATAATTAGTTAACTGTGTTTAGCAGATAAGTGAAGATGGCAAATAATGCATTCATGTTTAATGCAAATTTGGAATTAATCAAACCAAGTCTATTTTATGTTTTGAAAATGACATCCAGTATTTACACTTATGTGAATGTGAATGATTTGATTATTTTAAAATAATTTAAATCAACAGTTTATTCAGTGCATGTTGCAAAACGAAACATTTTTGTTCAGTTTTTTTTCTCTCTCTCTCTTTTCTTTGATTCTGCAACACAGTCTTCAGGACAAGTTTTTATACTGGTTGTTGGACTGAAGAAATATTCTATAATTTCTGTCCTTTATTTTATCTATTTATTCATTAGGAAGGTAATAGACTGAAGCTATCAAGACTTTCCCTGACTGAAACATGAAAAATGGGTTCCAGTGCATGTAAGTTGTTTAAAATAAATATACAGATTTTAAATCTTTATAAAAAATAAAGTAATTATTATCAGTGAATATTTTTCATATTAATCTTAGATATGAGTGCATATATGAATTTTTTTTAAGTTTTGTTTTTAAATGTTTTATAACTGATTGTTTTTTTCTGATTTAGCACAAGAGGACCGAGTGCCCTTGATAGGACACAATAAAGGTGTCAGGGATTCATCTCAGTCACCATCCAGGATAATCACCCGATCACAGTCACCTGAGTTCTGATCCCCCGCACGTGCTGTCACCAATCAAGCCACACTACAAATACACACACATCACAGTCACTCGCTGTCTGGTCTACTGTTCACTCCTATGGACTGTTCTGGACTCTCTCAGCTGAACTCACCTAGAAAGACTTACCTACTGTCTCTCCCGCAATCCGCCAACGACTCCTTGGAAACTGGTCCACGATCTCCAATGAACCTGCCAAAGATACAAACCATCAGAACTCGAATAAGAACCCCAGTGTAAGGATAAAAGAAACTCTGATACTTTGATCTCCTGAGAAACAAACAATACACTGGCATCTTCAAGACACTCCACAGAGGGGTGGTGCAGGAAACGCCTCTCTCACATATGCATCAGTGTCTTTTCATCTCCTCCCTCCACTGGATTCACTCAGAATGGTCAAGAATATAATGTTCTCTATGAATGCAAATAAGATTTTACAGTCATGTTTGGTTTCATTTGAATAGTTTCAGGGCGAGTGGTACAATGGTCGTAATCTGACTAAAAGATAATCTAGATCCTAAGAGTTAAAAGATACTTTGATTACTGTAGGGGGCATTACATGCTAATTACCTTTTGTTCCCATTAAGGTGTAGACCACCCAGGTCTGGGACCTGGGTTAATGTAAATTACATGCCTCCATTTGATGCTGTATCTTGGTTTTGTATTTAAAGGATTGCAGCAAAAGGGTCAGCGCGATTCTGTAGCCAGAGAGCCCGTAGTATAGAGTGTATCCACACACTCTGTATTTTTCTAATACATTTAATCTCAGGTTTGCATTTTACTCTTAGATTCGTCTTTGAGAATTTGATGTCTTGTATTGATTTGATATCGTTGAATTGGCTGTGGAGATAATTGGCATAATACATATTTAACAGACTGATAATAAATTGTTACATTTGATTTATTCTGACTTACTCTGAAGTTATTTTCTCAAGTAGATTAAGTGAAGGCTTATGTTTTCCGCAAATCTGCGTCCAGGGTTAAGTGCACATTAGATCTCAGGAGATGAAGCATGGGGCGCATCAGGTGAGATTCTAAATTTCTGACTAACCGCTTGATCTTATAGTTTAAGTTGTACTCAGTTACGGTAACCATGTATATGATTTCAGTATTAAGTTGTACGAAGCTAGATTAGCTGTCTAGGAGAACCGCTGATTAATGTTTGAGTATTACATGGGTAACTGTAGGGGGCTAAACAGACCTACTATTTAAAGTATATTAAATAGTATTAGCCACAAACCTCTGAATATAAGGATTAGAATGGCGAGTTTTGTGATCGTGGAGCCCACGCATAGCGGCAGCCGTGAGGCATCCGAAGCGACATAGATTCCTAATGAACGAGTAAAATACAAAGTAAAGAGTTAATTAGAATAATCGAATGTAAGAATAATCAGAGACCGACAAACAACCAATTTGCCTTTCAACCTAAATTCGAGTTCATACTAAAATGGAGTCAGATTGAGTTAAACCTAAATTGAATAAATCTGCGTGCTGAAAAGATCGAAAACGCAAGAAACCTTCATCTGCCACTGGATACCTTCCTTGGGCCATGTGCGCGGACCTTACACCAGTATCATTAACTGTGCTGACACTCACCTGCATTTACCTCACCCGTTCCATTCCTCTGCATATCCTGTCAATAAACACTCCTGTTTTGCACTTACCTGTTGTTTCCGGCCTTGCTATGTGACAGAAGGTGAGAGTAGGAGCATCTCTGTGTACTTTTTTTTTGTACTCCGTGTAACATTTTTAATGTTATTTTATAAATATTTCTTTATTTGATATAAGAAATTACTTTGCAATACAACTGACAACCAGATTTATTGTGAATCTATGTGAAGCAAATGTTGAAAGATACGGTAGACTGACATTTTCACTCTTGGTTTTAGTATTTTCAAATAATCTAAAACAGTTTATTGGCTAACACAAATCTTAGTGTGCTGAAAGTAACTAGACAGAAAAAAAAAATAGTGTTTAAGATTTTGTAGAAATGTTGAAATAGTTAGAAAGAGACTAATGAAAATGATGAAGATATTACTTAAAAATGCACTTCCATGTTCATTAGACCAGCACTATTGTTCTAATGAAATAAGCAGTACAAATCAGTGTCAGCATAGATTCAGTCATGTCAAATATTATTGAGTGCACTTTTAAAATACATTTCAATTTCTTTTGATTTAACTGAATGCTTCACTTTTTCAGAAATTCAGCCTATTTTTGAGGATCTTAAACTTGTGCTGATTTGGAAGTCAAGGTACTGGAAAAAACACCATTGCTAATGCCATCTTTGGGGAAAAAAAGTCTTCACATTATGGACGTCTTTTAGAAGTGTCCACATCAAGGAGACTCGTACAGTATCAGGACACAGATTAATTTGACTCGCACCCCAGGCTGGAGAGGAGACTTGAGTAGATCAGAAAAAACCAAATGTGAAATTGTGCACTGTGTTCAGTCTTTATACAGTACTGGACCTCACGCAGTCATCTTGGCTCTTAAAGTGAACTCAGTGCTGTCAGAGTCAAACATCAGCACCCTAGAGAGTCTGCTTACTGTTCGGCTGTGGGATCATACAATAGTGATGTTCACACATAGAGAAAAACTAGGAGGTTATACCATTGAGGATTATATCAGATATTAGCAGCTTCAGTCTTTAATCAAAAAAATGTGGAGAAAGATATTTTGTGAGCCGAAACAATGATAGCAACCAGATTACTGAGACAATTCAAGAGCTCGTTGCCAGGAAGAATTCAGCATGTTGTTTTAAACTTTCAGCTCAGGCAGAGGATAATAATACTTTACAGTCAGACTGGAGATGTCTTGAGCGTATCAAATCCAAAATCACTTCTCTGTCAGCCTTTAAGGAAAACTTGCTGTTAAATTCAAAAGCACAAAATAATGGCTTACTTAAAAGGCTACTTGATTTAAAAGATGCAGAGATAAAAAGACTAAATTCCATTGTTCAAGGAAAAGAAAGGGAGATAGAGAGGTTACGATCAAGATACTTAAGAACTCAAGATCTTGACCTCTCTGGCCTATGCAGAAGAAATACTGAACTTGAAGATCAAGATTATATGATGAGCAATGAACTAAAGGGAAAGAATACAGAGAATGAAACACTGAAAAAAACAAGTAAAGGAAAAGGATGCTGAGATTGAAGAACTGAAAAAAGAGTTACAAGTGCGGCGACAAGAAGCTGTAGGTCAGTGGACACAAGAGAATCAATATGCAACTGTATGTGCAGACTACTGCAGCAAACTCTGTCAAGGTGTCTCAGCTGTGGCCATAAGAAGCCAGACTCAAATACAGTTACAGGCCATTCCTTCAAAAGGTAAGGTATAAAAATAGTTAAATTATGATTAATGCATTCAGCAGATGTGTGGAAAGACCTTAAGCTGCCTTTTCACTATTTCTGCAATCATAAATAAATGCAGATATTTATTTTTTTTAGATTTCAGCTTCTGATGAAAATGTAAAACCTACTCTGTTTTTTTGTTTAGACATATTGGCTACCATTTGTTTTGTATAGATGTATTTATCATTATTCAGTTTTATATTTACAGTATATACACATTTTATTTCATTTTTTATATATTTTTATAGTTTGACTGAGATCAAAAAGAATATATATTTTTATAGTACAACGATATTTGGTCACATTTCCATAGGGTCAGCTCTACACGGCTGGAGTGACACTCTTCTGAAGATCTTGAATGAGCTGTCTGATGAAGACCTGAAGAAAATGAAATACTACATGTGCTGGAATGAAGAATACAGAATATACAGGGGCTCAGTGGAGCACAGAGACAGAGTTGAACTGGCAGACCTAATGCTAAAACAGTGGGGTGAACGGCAGTCAGTGCAGAAAATCCATCGTAATGACGATGCTATGATAGAGCTCTTTGAACCTTTCTTGAAAAGCATCGGTGAGACATGGGGATCAACTAAATAACAGTCATCATTTCCTTCTAAAAGAACCAGGTCTTCATCAATTTTTCATTGTTCTGGATTGAGACGAGATGTTTCTTCTGCACATTTCATCTTCTGAATGAGGCACCCAGTCTCTAAAAAATAAAGTTTGCCAAATGGAAGCCAGGTGATGCAGTAGAAAAAACATTTGTGGTTTCCGGCTAGAGAACCTTTCAGTGATTAAAAAATATATATGTAAATCTCACAGCATCAAGAGGAAGCTAGAGGAGTGGCCATGGAAACCACAGCCTGTAATACGAGTCAAGCAAAAGTGAAAGCATTTTAGAGCACCTATATTTATCACGAAGCTCAACACAACAACAGATTAAAGATGGAGAACTACCAGCATGCTGTGTTTTTTGAGGCAAAGAGTCTCTCAGATGAGGAACTTGGACAAATACAACTATACTTTAAAATCAGGAGAAGGTCTGGAGGAGGAGACTGTGAGATCTACAAAGTGGGTAACAGCACCTACAAGATAAGTTTTATGCAAAAAAATGGTAAGCATGCTTTATGTTATTACAGTTTGGTGTTATTAAAAACCATGCCATTCTTTTATCTCACTTATGCTTGTCAAAACTGTAATAATAAAAAAAATTCAATTTATAATTATATTATAATGCATTTGTATTCAAAGCCCAGGAAAGAGTACTAGAACGAAAGGATCATGTCATCAAAGTAGAAGGGCAAGAGGACATCCATGTTTCATTAAGACATGAAAATGTCGCTGAAAGCAGCGAACAACCTACAGCATCTGCAAATCAGGTAAATGGCACAGTCATAAAACAAACAGAGATTTAGCTTCGATTTATATATGTGCTGTACCTTGTTTACTGCTGATGCAAGGTGGTCAGACCTGTTTTTCTGAAACCAATTTCTGAAACGACTCTCTGCATAGTTAAAGTAAATACCTTGAACAGTTCTCGGAAATCACCTGCTATGCATAACTTGACAATAAGGAAGGTCTAGAACTACAGTATATAATATTGACAGAAAATAGAGTTATATTTCGTTGAAATGCTAATTTTGCTGAATATGTTTTTGTGCTGGTACCTTGACTGGTTTAGGCCTGTCATGGACAGCTGACACTCAAAGATTGTCATATTCTTTATATTCTGTGCCGTCATTGGTCCACAGAAATGATACTTGAAGAGACTGTTGTGCTCCAGCTGAGTAAAAATCAAGCTGCTTTCAGGTGTGTAGAGCCCAAAAAAATCTCAATGCAAACAAAGAGATTACTAACCCGTGAAACGGTCTAGCGAAATGCTCTTGTTTTTAATTCACTTACACTGTACACTCTTTGAACTATATAGTTAATATACTGAAATATATTTTTGCTAGACCTTCTCCAGTCTGGATCTAACTGTGTGCAGGTAGCAATCTGTTTGTTTGCATTCACAGAAGTGACAGAAATGGGTTGGTGATTTTTTTTTTTATATTAATTTTTACCTTTATAAGGGCATTTTGTTTTTTCTAAACTTAGATGTATTATTATCTTTCATGTCAGATTCTTACATTTAATAAAATTTAATTGGAATAATAAGACACTATAGGGCTGTTACCAATCAAAGGGTATCAGTATCAACAAAATAAATTTTTGCACTGCGGAACTGACAAAAGCTGCATCTTATGTGGCATTTAAGTGTATTTACACAAGTGTATTAATGCATTTACACTGAAATTGCAAGTTGCATTAATGAGTTTATTGTTTTAAAAATATTGAATATAGGAAGATACCTGATGAAGGTCATGAGACCGAAACGTTGTTGGGAGCAGACGTGGCCTAATGAATAAAGAGTCGGACTTGTAACTTGAAGGTCACAAGTTCGAGTCTCAGATCTGGCAGGAATTGTAGGTGGGGGGAGTGAATAACCAGCGCTCTCTCCACCTTCAATACAATGACTGAGGTGAGACCCTTGAGCAAGGCACTGAATCCCTGTCTGCTCCCTGGACACCCACTGCTCCGTGTGTGTGTTCACTGCTGTGTGTGTGCGCTTGGATGGGTTACATGCAGAGTACAAATTCCGAGTATGGGACACCATACTTGGCCACACTTCACTTAATAAAACTTTTATGATACTTTTTGCAAAGTTTGGTAGTTGGTGGATTTTTGTTTTTTGGGGGGTTTTAAAAAAACAAATGTTGAATATGAAATGATTAAACAAATGGAACAATACTTTAAAACTGAAACAACAGCAAGTAAAAGTCCTAATGAATGTGTCATTGTTTCAACCAAGTCGTTCAAACGGCTGATTCATTCAGGGAATGAAGCAAGCATTTGTCGTTAATAGGCATTTCTGAAATAGCTTACTGTCTGAGTACGTACTGTACTACATTTGAATTTCAAATTACTTCCCAAAAAAAGTATGTTCTATGTTGTATGAATATGGTAGTATGAACGAAATTCAGACATACTACAACCACCATGTTACTATCACAGGACTTACCAGCATCATTTGCTTCGCTTCACTGCCATTCATAAATCCTCTCCCGTGGCGTAATTGGATAGTAAAGTGTCCATTGATTGCACACTTCAGAAGCCTGGTGGAAGTAGTAGGTAATTTGGGTAATTTTCGCCTATAGTTTTTCGAATTGGAACATACTACTCTTTTGGCATACTGTTTTTCATCTACTATATAGTAAGGAAGTATTGGATTTAAGATACAGTGCATGAATGGGTCAATGAATCACTGACTCATGCGATTCATTCAAAAATATTCAACGTGACCTCAAGGTGTGTTTTTGATTGTTTTTTGGTGAGTGATATACCCGATAACGTTACATTAAGACAACAATTACTATATTGCGCTTATTGCACATCCCAGGCCGGAACCAGTGTCAGAAAGTTTCAGATAATGGAGTTGATAAATCAGCATTATCATTACAATTGGCATTTGTTGATCCTGTACATGTGTTTTTATATCTTGCAAATTAGTTTCCTGTAAGTTATGTCATCTTATTTGTTGCTGGTCTGCTAAATGCTGGTAAGGCAGGTAAAAACTGAACTAGACCAGGCCATCAGGAAATATCCTTATTGCTAAGCCCTGATAAATGAATTTCACTTATCTTGCTTATTATGAAGCATTATGTATGACCAATTAATACTTGTCTTTACTTTTTTTTTCATTTGTTAGAAATGTGCAAGTGCTAAAAGTGTGGAGAAGGTTTTAAAACTGGACCATTATCTACTACGCTTCCTCAGTGAATTAAAAAAGGCATATTCAGAGTTGGAGAAACATTTCTCTACAATCTCCAGCACTTTCAAGATCAACATCGACTCTGAAGAGTTGGTGGTGGTGAAGGACCCAGGAACTGAAGCTATTTTTCCCCTGAAGAAATGGGAATGTGCAGTGGATGAAGTGTTTGAGATTCTAAAGTCACGCTATATCATCCACTTTGAGGTCGAAAGTGACAAATATGCCATTCTAGAAGAAAACTCTTTCCTCCAAAGTGATAACTTAAAAATCTATTTTGAAAAACTAACATGTTTAGCTGTGGTGGTTGGAGAACGAAAAGAAGTGGAGAAGATTTTAAAATTTCTAAGTGGCTTGCAGGACAAACAGCAGGTTCAACAAGAGTGTTGCGTGTCTGAGAAACAATATGATCTCATTAAAGAGCAGTTTGAGCCATACGTAAAAGCTAATTTACCTGCCCTTAAGATCACACAGGAACGAGCAGGTGTTGTTCTTCTGAAGGGTCCTGAAAAAGAGGTCCATGCAGGTGAAGAAGAGCATTTAAAATTAGTGCTAGAAATCAAAGAGAAGAGGATCCCATCACATCGTGCTCTAATGACCTTCTTGGAATCAAGTGGCAATATACAGCACTTCCAAAACCGATTTCAGCAGAGCCTCCGCAGCCCGGTTATGCTCGAGACTTCAGGTTCAGATCTTCTTCTGCTGAGTCTGTCTGATGGAGCGCTAGAGGAGGCGGCTGCTGCCGTGCAGAGAGACGTGTGTTTGGAGACTGTGCATCTGGAAAACACTCAGAAATCATCTGCGTTTACTAAACTGAAGGAGGATTTGAATGAAGCCATCAATCAAGCCAATCGTGGAAGTGTTAAATTAGAGCTTAAATACCAGGATGAATCAACTACTGACCCCAAAGTGCAACTTGTGGGCTACACTACTGAAGTTAATAAGCTGAAGAACATTGTGCTGGAATACAAAAGAAACCATCAGAACCATCATGCCTCCCTGCCTCTTCCCAGGCCAGAAATGGCAGAGCACTTCTCTGATATCTTGGCGATGGCCGGCATGAAGAAGAGCAATGTGGAAATAAAGCCAACATGTTCACCTTACCCATGCATCTACCTCACAGGACCTCGCTTAGAAGTTGAGAGTTTGAAGGACAGCCTTAAGTAATTTCTTCAGAGTCTTGCCACTAAACGTTGTGAAGTGAAAGGACCTGGAGTTCAACAATTTTTTCAAGGTGAAGGTACAAGGACCTTGCAATTAGTGAAAAATTCTTATATGGTTGTGATACTGCCTATTGAAGATGTTCCCAAATACACGCGCAGTACCAGTCTCCAGCCATTTGCATCTGCATCTGCATCTTCCCAAGACTCTATGGACATTGACAAAGACATAAACATTAAAGTTGTGGTTGGTAGCCTTGAGCAACAACAGGTAAGGCTGAATTATCATTATTTCAAATTTAGCCTTAATCAGTATTTATACGTTATTAAGGACTGTTAAGTAACCTTCATGATTTGCATAATTAACAGGCAGATGTGTTTGTTGCTCCGATGATCCAAACAAACATGACCTCAACCTTAATTGGATCATCCCTGTTGAATAAAGCAGGACAGCAGCTTCAAAATAACTTCAACAGTGCCACGGGAAATCTCACTCTTAAGCCTCACCTCACAGGACCTCGCTTTGAAGTTGAGAGTTTGAAGGACAGCCTTAAGTCATTTCTTCAGAGTCTTGCCACTAAACGTTGTGAGGTGAAAGGACCTGGAGTTCAACAATTTTTTCAAGGTGAAGGTACAAGGACCTTGCAATTAGTGAAGAATTCTTATATGGTTGTGATACTGCCTATTGAAGATGTTCCCAAATACACGCGCAGTACCAGTCTCCAGCCATTTGCATCTGCATCTGCATCTTCCCAAGACTCTATGGACATTGACAAAGACATAAACATTAAAGTTGTGGTTGGTAGCCTTGAGCAACAACAGGTAAGGGTGAATTATCATTATTTCAAATTTAGCCTTAACCAGTATTTATACGTTATTAAGGACTGTAAAGTAACCTTCATGATTTGCATAATTAACAGGCAGATGTGTTTGTTGCTCCGATGACCCAAACAAACATGACCTCAACCTTAATTGGATCATCCCTGTTGAATAAAGCAGGACAGCAGCTTCAAAATAACTTCAACAGTGCCACGGGAAATCTCACTCTTAAGCCTGGAGAAGTGCTGGAGGTGGACGGGACACATGCACTGGGATGCTCCAAGGTTTTCTTCATAGAATGTGCGCCAAAAGGAAACAAGCACAAAAGCGAAAAGGTATGACATATTGAATGGATGAGATTTCAAGAAAAGATTTAGTAGTTTTGTTTGATGGCCGAGAGAGCTCAACGCGCTGCATCTTCAGAAAACACAAGCAAATAGAAAAAGCACCAGCAAATTAAGGAAGCATCTTCATCAGTTTGACAACATGTGTGCTTCAAATGCTCACAACACAAATTTGCGTATTGATTACCATTTGTACAAATACCATGGTTAAACTATGGTTAGTGTAGTAAATCCATAGTTAATTTGTGCATGGTTACCATGGTTTAATAGTAACCATTGATTATTTATTTTTTATACACTAAATCTATTAATTAATTAAATAAATTAATAGTAAAACCATAAGCTATGGTTATTTTTTGTGTGTTTTACTAATCAAAAATGAAGTTTTGATATTTATTGTAGGAAACCATAAAATTTTTTTTTAAATAAATTTACAAAATATCTTCATGGAACATGATTTTTGCTTAATATCGTAATGATTTTTGGCATAAAAGAAAAATCTATAATTCTGAACCATACAATGTATTTTTGGCTATTGCTACAAATATACCCATGCTACTTATGACTGGTTTTGTGCTCCAGGGTCACATTTAGGCTAGTAATATGAAGAAAAAAAAGAGCTAAGGAATCGTATGATCAGGGTGTTAAAATAAACAAAAATCGCACCTTTCAGAGCAAACATTGATTAATATGTCCCAGCCATGTTTGTCACTTTGCGGATCCCTTAAACATTTCCGAGGTGGTCTGTACCTATTTGCAGCGCGTTTCTTTGTTTGTGTTGTATTTGCAGTGTGTTTCTGTTTTTGCAGCGCATTGATTTATTTGTTTGTGTTGTGAGCATTTGCAGCGTGTGTGTTGTCAAATTGATGAAGATGATTTCTTAATTTGCAGGTGTTTTTTTTTAACTCTTTTGACCACCGTAGGTTTGCCATTAGTAATCTATTTTTTGGTGTTGGGATCTTGTCTTAGGCACTTCGCTCTGGACTTGGCCGAGTTTTTGAGCTGTGTGAGCAGAACTCTTGGGGTTCGGTTGCGTTGCCAGTAATTGGACCCGGCATAGTGCTGTCAATACCGGTCAAAGATGCCATTAATATTCTTACTCAGGAGATCTGTGAATATGTATCTGTATCCACTGGTCTTCTGCACACCATTTGTATCGCAATAATGGCTAATTACGCTCATTCCGAAGAGGTACACAATCTATATATCTATAGCACACACTCTATGCAATGGAGTTTATTTCAGTGATTTTTATTCCTAATCCTATTTTGGAAATATTTTGCAGATGTTCCAGACAGTCTGTGGGAATCTGAGTGCAAAAATGGTGGACGACACAGGGGAAGGCAAGATATATATATACATGCCACAGCACATTTTGACACCAAATGACATCAAATGCATGATGCTTTGTGATAAAATGAAAATTAGTCAATGAGAAATGTCTGAATTTTGTTGGATTTTTTTGTTGTGCATTGAAAATTCTTCTAAACCTTCTAAGGTTTCTTACATCTGTACTTCTTACATCATGTCTTTAACTGTCACCACAGCTCTGTTTCACTCACTGACCTCTGACCTCGATGAGATCATCATGCCAGTAGATGGGATTGAACTCCATCTAGTGTTTGGAGACATCACTAATGAGACTACTGATGCCATCGTGAACACCACTGACTTTAAGGACTTCCAGACAGCTGGTATTCATGCAGATTTTGTAATTTAATAACCAAAACATTCTTGCTACACTGTTTAGAACATAAGAGAGTGTTTAACCTGTCCATCACAGGAGTGTGTAAGGACATCCTTACTAAGGCAGGACCTCAAATCCAGGCTCAACTGACAGACGGTAAGAAAAAATAAACTACAGCTTCTTTTATAAAATTAGTTTTTGATTTGATCACATATGTAAAAAGACTTTTGTCAAGCATGTTTGAATGCACAGAGAAAAAAAAAACTATGCAAGCATCGAAAGTATTTTTAACACAAAGTTTTATAGGATTGATAGACTTACCCAGGAAGCCTTTTCCTTTGAAAATGGTCTAACCTAATTAAAACAGAATCGCATGCCTTCATTAGAAACAGTGTGATTTTAGAGAATTTGAAGAAACAACATGCACTTAACTGAACCTGTTTGCAAGTATAGTTAGAAATGCAGAAATGGCAACCTTCTTTAGGCATTTTAAAAAGATCAAATAAAATACAGAAAACCAAATGACACTTTAAAATAGACAAATGATTTAATTAATGAAATATGTACTGTACATGCAATATGTAATCTAACGCGTTCTCTTACATGTATTCTCCGGCTCAGGTAGCAAGAGGGCAGATCTTTACGACCCCGCCAGGAGGCTTCCCCTGTAAGACGATCATGCATGTTTGTGGACTGAGGGACCCTGGTGTTATCAAGACCTTGGCAAAAGAAATAGTGGTTCAAAGTGAGCACGGCTGCTACTGGTCTGTGGCCATTCCTGCGATCTGTGCTGGTCAGTACCTTCATTATTACTTACAATGAGAAAAAAAATGGATGTCTTGTAAGGTAGTTTGTTTTATGTATTTTTCCCCATTTGCTATCTCCTATAACAATGGTCTGTTTCCACCTCAGAGTAAAAAATACTGTAATTTGAAAATAAATGTTAAAATAAAGTCCAATTGTGAGATATATCCATACATTTTAACAGCTGAAGAATACTGATTTTGTCTTTGCTTGCATTGAGCGCATGACACTCATTTGATAAATTTGGTTCCCACATAAAAAACAAATACTAAGCCTAGTATTTTTTTTTTTTTTTTACATTTATGCAAAAGAAAAAAGCAG